GCCCCAAGTGGAAGGTAGAACATTCTAGGTGTTATTTGTGTCACAGATGGAGGCCTGAGGCACAACCCAGCCAGGATTTCCCTTCTCCTTTCCCATCAACCGCTGCCCGCCACACAGCACTTATCTTAAAGAGACATTTCTGGAAAGTTGGCCACAAAGTGCGAGAAGTAGTTCTGGGTCTTAATCACAGCTGTTTAAGCAAACAATATTATTTTTGCCTGGCAACCCTAATGGGAATTATGGCTTCTCAGAAGTTGGAGACTGAGTCTGTCTAAATTAATCTCCCAAGAGAAATGAGGTTGATGGGATCTTTCTCTTGACCAAAAGGGACAACACTTTGTTATCACTGAAGACTTAGCTCCGTTGTTTCTCACCCTGGAGCAGGTAAATATTAACAGACGCCTCTCTTTCTGCTTGTTTCTTACTATGTTCTAGTGGGTAGCAATTTGGCTACATCATCTGTATCTGATTGTACCATTGTCAGCAGATAGTCAAAGGATCCCGTTTTCCCTTTAGATTTTAGAAAGGTTTGTTCACACCAGGGAACACCACCAGAACCCCGGGCTGTGGCTCACTGGCAGGTGTGGATGGAAGAGAGGGTGGGCATCAGAGCAGGTAATTGAATGCTGGGCTGTAAAGTCTGGAGAAAAGAATCATTTCTACCAGTTCATCACATACCCAAGTCTGTCATATAAAGCTCTTTTCCTACTAAGATGAAGACAGTTCTGTCTACTCCTTACCCTATGAAGCTGCTCCAATAATCATGGAATGGAATCTCATGGGCAACAGTCAGAAGCACAGGTTGAAAAAGATTAACTCTGCACTATGAGCATGGACTTTGGAGCCAGTGAGAGATGAGGCGGAATACCTTCTTACCTCGGCAGGCCATTTAACCTCTGTGAGCCACACTTTGCCATCTAGAAAATAGGAGTAATATTTTCCCTGCAGAATTGCTGCTAAGGAGTTGGTCTGAAGACCCCTAGCAAATCATCTGGCCTATAGTAGCCATCCTGAAACAGCAGGTAAAAATAATAATATTAATGATAATAAATGTGATGATTATATTACAGGCGGATGCCCCCTGGTAGATCAAGAAAAGCTAATGCTATTCCGATCAGGTTTTACCTTTGAGATTGTTAAACAAACAAACAACACTAATTAGAAATTAAAAGAGGAGGGTCTGGGTGGCTCAGTCAGTTAAGCACCTGACTCTTGATGTTGGCTCAGGTCATGATGAGATTGAGCCCTGTGTCGGGCTCTATGCTGAGTGTGGTGGGGAGCCTGTTTAAGATTCTCTCTCCCTCTCCCTTTGCTCATCTCCAATGCTCATGCTCTTTCTCTCTCAAAAAAATTATTTTAATTAAAAAAATAATTCAAAGAAAAAGCATTCTCAACACATGGAATGTCAACCCTAAAACCAATCCCAGACACCAGGCCAAGAGCACCTCAGCCTTGCTGTCTCACTCTGCCACCACCTCCCCTTGCTTAGTGCACTAAATGCCGTGTGTTATCCTAAGAGGGATAAAACCACAAAACATCTGTTCCTCAGTCTAGACAACGCCCAGCATTTCCTGGACCCAGGTAAAGGGCCAGCACACACTGGGGCTGCTAGGGCTGCAGAAAGACTGAGATTCCCACACCAGCAGCCGACGACCCAATTCCCTCACCAGGTAGGTATGAAAATGTAAGCACCTCCTGCACAGGGTTGGGACACCCTGGGTCTCCCTTTCTCAAAAATATCTCAGTCATTCCTTTGGAAGCCAAAGAAGAACCCATGAGGACTTTTCAGACCAGGACCCAAGCACATTCCCCAATGAAGCTCAGAAACCTGGCACAGAGAACTTCCACACTGATACAGACAGCACACGTGTGTTACTTCTAACCAACAAGAAACTTCCACTCTCACTCCCCTCAGAAGATTGCCCTTAAGAGTAACTTTGGAGCTTCTTGGCAAACCTCCAAGACAAGATATCTATTCCAACTCCAGGTTCTCCCTGTGAAACCCTTAGACACCTAGGTCTTTGAACTCCTGGAGTGTCACATGGATCCCCATCACCCTTCACTTCATGTCAAATTGGTCTCCAAGTCCTCTTGATCTGCTTCTTGTAATGTCTTTCACAAGTGCTCCCCTTTCTCCTTTCCTGTTTCACTCGAGGAGCCAGGGCCAGTGATGGTCCATACGGCTGAGCCTCCTCGCTGGTCTCCTGAGCCCTGACTTCTTCATCTAATTCATTCAGCCATAGCATCTGGCTCATTTTCACTTCAGATGGCTTCCATCAGCCCTTTGTCTGTGCCAGCCTCTCAGCTGACCTAGAACCCACTTCTTGGTATAATCGGGATGTAACTCTGGATGTTCTGTCCCATTCTTATTTTCCCTCTACTCCCCAGCAGCCTCTCTGCTCTAATGGAAGATCCACCCTTATTCCAGCCCCTGGCTTCTGGATTTTTGTGCAGACTCCCCTTCCCAAATAGAGTTCTGAATTCATTTTCCTAAACCCTGCTAGTATGTCATGGCCTCCCTTCTCCTGCCTTCAGCGGTTATATGGGAACTTCTTCGTACAAGGGATTTTCAGGCTCTTTCAAATGCAATATTATTTCTAAAAATAAATCTTTGTTTTTAATTAAAAAATCAAATAGACCCCGAGATAACCCTAATTACATTTAAATAATATGTACATAATATTATTTAATCTTCTCAACAACCTCATATATGTATTTATATGCAATTATATGTCTGTGTTTGCATGATATATGCTTGTGATATATATGTAATATACATACACATACATATATATGTACATGTGTGTATATCAAAGGCCCAGTGACAATATATAACTGATCAGAGTAACTTAGGAAGAAGTTTGGAGTGTTCTGAGCATAAATATGAGTGCAGATCCTACTTTTAAAGATGATTCTATCTATCCCAAGCCCTAAAGCTTTGATCCAGTGTCCCAAAAGGAAGTTCCCTTTGAGAATTCTCTTTTCCTGGAAACTTTGTTTGTCCCTTTCTGGCATGAAGTCCCCAGAAGGGGGGATGAATGTATATATGAAAGGAGATACCACCCAGAAAATTAAAGCTCAATCCTATGGCTTGACTAATACACCAGGTAGAACACAGACACCTTGGTGTAGCATCTGCTGAATGTCACCCTCCTGTTGGTTTCTTTCTTCTTTTTCCTCGAGAACTATGTTCTCCATTGCAATTTATATTCCAGCTCTCTGTGGTCTAGCCCCTGAGTCTTTCCATGGCCACTTTTTACTTTGGTAATTTTGTAAAAGTACCAATGTCAATCCATCTTCTGCAGATGATGGGTTGAGTCATTAACACCTTCCAAAATGACTCTAAAAGTCTAAGAGCACAGAGGATCATGTATAACAAAGGGAAAACATTTTCTATGGTAATTTATCATCATCATGATTGTTTTTAATGAAAACACCTCTGGAAAATTTTGGAATGTCAAATCCTTAGATGTAGAAGTGGCTACCTTCCAAAAGGCTAACCTCTCACGATGTCACCACAGGTCGTAAACATCCAGGCCCGGAAGAGCAGGAAGACGCTACTTGTACAGCTGTGTGGTCACCAACTGTCCCTGAGGAAGCTGGCAGCCGGGGCCCTACAAGAGTCTGGGAGAAACCTGGAGGTGGAACTCACCCACAAATAGTTTGGTTTTGAAAAAGAAAATCTTTCAAAATAGCGACTGGGGCCATCTCTAGCTCTGTTCTTGTCCCGGGGTGCAAGAGGGCTCAGGGGATGGAGTACACGCACTGATGCTTATTTAAAGGCACAGAAAGTGTCACCTTTGTGCTTCGGACTGCTTCAGGGAAGGAGGGGAGTGGGAGAGTGAGGGTCTATAAGGATATAAAACAAAGCTGAAACAGAAAAGGAAGAAAAGAAAGGCAAAGGAAGAAAAAATGAAGGTATGACCTTCCAGTGAACATGTGGAGACCTTAGTAAAATATGACCGAATTGTCATTTCAAGCACAGGGCAGAACTCGATCTGATTGATGCTCTGAGAGGCTCCACCGGACACCCCTATCCTGGCGCCAGTGAAAGCCCACCCTCTTTGGCAGCTTTATGACCCTTATAGATGACAAGGCCGAACAGACCAAACCACAGCCTGCCTGGACATGATTCAGTCATAATCCTAAAGGTTAAGAAGGTCTACCTTTTCCAGAGTCAGTACAGATACTAGGCCCGCAGACTTTTGGCGATAGGAACGTACCCTCAACTCACAAAAGGGCACAGCCACGACAGGCACATACGCTCTCTTTATTTGTTCACTCATCTACCGAGAGACTGGGCTCAGTGCCAGGCTACAGAGATGAGGAGGGCTCAAGGGAACTCATATGCCTACTGGGGATGACAGACAGGAAGTAAAATTATTACAAAGCATCGGGACAAATCTTGCACTATGGGAGTGTGGCAAGCGCAGTGGGAACCCAGGAAAGCAGCCCCTCCCTGTCTGGGGAATCCATGGAAAGCCTTACGTGGCAGGATCCCACGTGAATGGAGACTTAGGTCAGAGTGTCTCAGGCAAACAAAGGAGGGTGGTGGGTGGGCAGCGACCATGTGAAAGGAAACAGAGGGAGAATAAGTGGGAAAATCATGTGGGGTCCGGTAAGACTCCAGGAGGTGATTGGAGTTTCTCTCCAAGGCATTTGGGAGCCCAGGAAAGATTTTACATAGGAAAATGGCAGGATCAGATGGGTGTTTTTGAAAGGTTAGGAAGTGGGAGGAGAGGTGAGAGCCACTGAGGACAGCCTCTTCAGGATTTCAGGAGCAGTGAGGGGGGAGGTGAGGGGCTTGTGATGTGTTGCTAAGATCCATTTAATGTCATTAGGTAGAGTAGGGAGCGGCAGTCTTTTGTAATTGTCTCTAGAAACTGACCCCTGATGCACTCGGAGACAGAACTGTATGGATCACGGGGTTTGAAAAGTTATAGCAAATGCCATTTGATCGGACTTACTAGAAGAGACTGCCAAGCAAAGATTTTACATACCTGCTCGTTTTTGCCTTAGTGGCTCCTTCCCCTCTAGTTCATGTTCACGGAGAATCTGAAAGAACATTGTAGGAGACTGTCAGTTAGGATTCGAGACGTCTCTTTTCCTTGGCTTTCTGCTCACGTGCCCTGAAGTGTAGGAGCTGAGCTTCGGGCTGTGGATTCCCGGTGAGCACCTTGTGCCCTGTGGTTGGCAGGAACTGCATGAATGTGGCCTGGCATGCACTTTTGATAGACCTGTCTCTGGGCCCAGGAGTGAAACCAATCACCATATCTAAGTTTCTCCGAGTTCCTGTAGTTTGAGTCGGGTCAAGAAATATAAATTACGGTGTTTTTAACTTGTGCTGTCTGCCTCAGACTTGAACCCTGAGTCATACCAGTGATAAGTCTTAGACAAGTCTCACGATCTCTCCTTAGCCCTCAGCCTGTCCCCACCCTAATGGTTCTGCTGCATTAGGACTGTTTAGATAGTGCATGCTTAGAAGTCATTTTCTCCTCCTTTGTTCCCTTTTCTCCTGGAAGCTTCCATTGTTGCTTTCTGCGGCAGGGGCTGTGAGAGCTAGTTCTGGAGACAGACTGCCTGGGTACATGGCTGTGCCACTTACTAGGTATGTGACCTGGGGAACTTACTTATCCTCTCTGAGCCTCAGTCTTCTTTTCTGTAAAATGGATTAATAATACTATTGACCTCATAGAACCATTATAAGAATTAAATCAACTGCCATGGGACACAAAGTAAGCCTTTAATAAATTTGAATTATATCATATAGCATAATAGTTAAGAGCAAGGGCCCTACAGACATTGAGTTCAAATCCTAGCTCTGCTATTAAATGGCTGTGTGAACTTGGGCAAGTTATTTAACCTCTCTGTGCCTTGGTACTCATCTATAATATAGGAATAAAACTAGTCTATCTCGTGAGGTTGTCATAAGGATCAAATGATTAACAAAGGTAAAGCACTGAGAATAGTTTGATGACATGGTAAGTGCTCTTCTGGGCCAAAGCGTCACCCTCTCCTAGAAGCACCATTCACATGTACGCTTTCATCTGCACATTGACACTTCCACTCTAGAAAGCTCTCCTGTCATCATGCAGCTTCGTTGTTTAAAAGTTGCCTTTGATTGGCTTTGCTTTTGGGATCACTGCCAATTCTGCAGCCAGTAATCACACCTTGACCTGACCTGGGCTTCCTAGTTCATCCTTGCTGGGATGTGCGCCAATCCAAACTCCCTTCAAGGCTCAATAGAAGAGCCAGATCACCCCTACCCTCTGCGGTTCGTCCTTTCCCATGAGCTCAACACATCCAGGATCACCACCCAAGGCAAAGCTCGTTCTACCATCTGTGTTATCTATCATTCTTTTCTAGTTATCTCTCCTCATAGCAGTTATAAAATATTAATTCCTAAAATATATCCAACACCCCTGCGTCAGGCACTGTTAAGTACTTGATGTGTGCTTAGGTGTTTAATCCTTATGACAATCTAAGGTATAGGTACTATTATTACTCACATTTCCCTGATGAGAAAGCACAGTTGCAGAGAGGTCAAATGAGTTGCCTAAGGCCACACAGCCTTTAAATGGCAGAACCAGGACCCAAACTCAGCTAGCCTGGCTCTAGTGTTTGCACTTGTCCACGAAGGCATTGAATGATGTTGTCAGGAGATACCCTGGGAAACTGTGGGTCTGTCTCAGTGACCTAGTCTCTCTTACCTAGCACCCCTTCTTTCTCTGTTACCTCTTCCTATCCCTTCCTTCTTTTCGATGACAGTATTAACATCCATGAGGATCTGCAGAGGGGCGGTGTGCCTGGCAGTTCATAAATGTTCTTGAAGAAATGAATAGAGGAATGATGCATGACGATTGGAATTTCAGAAGCCCAATTGCTATTTTGTTTGCAGTGGGCTTATTTTAGCTGTACTTAAATGCGCAGGAACCACAAAGGAGCAAAGTCAATGCATAGGGCTGGTTCCTGTCCAGCTTTGCAGGGGGACTGCTTGGGCTCTGTGCCCAAGCAGAAGGAAAGCTTCTTCCGCTGCATTCCTGCCTGCATCCTCTCTGGGGCCTGGGGGCAGGGAGAGGGAAGCCACCAGGAAGCCTTCTCTGTCCACTTCTCATGGGCTGTGGTTGGGGGACTTGGCCCAGGAGAAGGTGATCACTGGCAGTCACCTTTGGGAAGCTCTCCAAGGTCTAGATTTCATTTTCTACATTCCCCGGAGGGACTAAAGAATTGAGGTTAAAAAATCAAGGTGCAGTCGATTCCCTCGAACCTAGCATTTCAGTCTGTGACCATAAGGATCACTTCCCTTGTCTCCCTCAGCCCAGTTTAGCAGGTGTGGGGTATGGTGACAAAAACTGTCTTTTTAATGGGCACATCTCTGGACATGAGGCCATCTTTTGAGAAACGCTACTTTTTAACCATTTCCTGCATCCTGATGGCGATTATCTGGAACTGCATGGGGACATCTCTGCAAAGTGCTGCCTCTGTACCTCTGTCACTGACTGCCTCTGTTGTCCAGCCAGTGAGGATGCACAGCCTCTTGTGAGAATGACCCACTTTTTATTTTAAGGCCTGTAGTCACTGGGGAAAATGGAGGAAAAATACTGAAAGCAATAAAATCCTTGAGGAGTCCCGGCGGTGGTGATGGTGAATAACCTTGGCTCTTCCAGATTTGAGAAGGTACAAAGAGAAGGGCTGCAAGGTCAGGGTGCCTGCATTTCGACAAGGCAAATGTTAGAGTCACGCCAAGCAGCGATTCCCACCATCTCCTTCTCTTCCTGGTTGGAAAAGTCATTCACTGATTCTGAGGCTCAGTTTCTCACATTGTGGAAAGTGATGTTCTCAGGCACACCAGCTGCTTGTACAGTTTCTGGCAGTGGCCTGTGTCCATGTGTCAGGCTGGCTTGGGTCTCACCAGAGGCTACCCTTGCCCTCCTGAGTCCTCATGTCCCTCCTGTTCAGGGACCTTTGTGACTCCAGCACTTACCTTTTCTCTTAAACACTGGGTGCTGAGGAGAACTCTTAGGGGAACATAGATCTTCCCAGATGAGTATTTACTTCAGTGAAGAAAACAGAACCTCCAGAGGGCCTCCTTCTGCTTGTCCAGGTAGAGGTACCCAGATGAGCATCAGAGGACAATGGTCATCCAAAGGAGATTTCCTGATGGCCAAGTCTCAGCCAGAAGGCACAAGGTCACCAAATCCAGGAAGTACCCACCTTTGGACATCATGACTTTAAAATAATTGTGTGTGGGTTTGGGCGGGGGAAGGGGTGGCCTGGAGTGAGCCTGGAGATAAGAGTCAAGGATAAGAGGTGGCATTTTGTGTGCAGAAAAACAAAACAAAACAAACAAAACAACTCCAGGGAACAGGATGTCAAACAAGGTAGTCACCAAAGGCTCCAGGGTCACCGGATTTCTCTTCTGCTCACCGAGGCTCTGCCACTCACTCCTCTTTTCCTTGACCTGCAATCCCCAATTTAACATCTTTGCCTCCAGTTAGATAATGATCTCCTCACAAAGGCATCCTAACACAGGTTCATATGTGCTGGCAAAGTAAAAGTAAACAAATCACCAAATCTTAAGTGTTAGCTCTGTGTTGGTCTGAGAACGTCTGACCCTCATAACAAACCGATGAAGGAGATACTATTTATTCTCTTATTATGTAGAGGAAACAGGTTCAAGGAGACGAAGAAACGATGAAATTTCCCAAGCTAGCCAGAGCTGGGCTTCACCCTCAGCGATGATGTCAAGGTTGAGTGTCTACTGCCTTGAGGCTCAAAAGGCCGCCCCCGGAGCAGGAATGACGTCACCCTGTCAGAAATGCAACATCCGGGCTCCACCCCAGACTTCCTGAGTTGAGATCTGCGTTGTATTCGGTTGTGCAGGTAGGTTCCTACACACATTGAAGTTTGAGAAGCTCCGTTATCACACTTTGAAAGCCCGTCACCCCACCTTTGCACATGCACAGGCTCACTGCAGCATTACTCAGAATAGCCTAGACATAAAAGCAACCCAAGTATCCATGAATGGGCAAACGGATAAACAAAATGTGGGGTATACGCACAACGGAGCATTATTCAGACTTAAGAAAGGAAGGAAATTCTGACGCATATTACAACATAGGTAAATTTTTAGGACATTATGCTAAGTGAAATAACTTAGTCACGAAAAGGCAAACAGTGGATGACTCCACTTACGTGAGGTACATAAAGTAATGGGGCTCATAAAAAGAAAGTCATAATAGCAGTTTCAGGAGCAGGAGGAAAGGGGGGAATGGGAAGTTCTTGTTTAACAGGGATAGATCTTCAGTTTTGCAAGATGTAAAAGTTCTGCAGGTTTGTTGCACAGCAATGTGGATCTATTTAACACTCCCGAACTTAAAAATGGTTAAGGTGGGGCCCCTGGGTGGCTCAGTGGGTTGAGTATCTGACTTGGCTCAGGTCATGGTCTTGCAGTTTGTGAGTTCGAGCCCCACATCAGGCTCTGTGCTGACAGCTCAGAGCCTGGAGCCTGTTTCAGATTCTGTGTCTCCTTCTCTCTCTGCCGCCCCCCCCTCACACGTGCTCTGTCTCTCTCTCAAAAATAAGCATTAAAAAAAATTTTTTTTAATGGTTAAGATGGTAAATGGGATGTATGTTGCCACAATATTTTTAAAAAGCTCATTGGCACATGTTGCATTTAAAATGGTCGAAGACCAGCCTTGGGAATGGGAGAGGGAGGCAGCTTAGGGCAGTACAGACTAATGAGGCAGGTTCAGGTGGATGTCTCCAATGAGGGGGTCTTCGGCCATTGGCTTGTGTGAAGATATTATATCTCAAAGGCAGATCTAGAGAGGAAAACTGGGGCCCTCTGGGATGGTGGTGGGTGTCTCTAGAAAGATGGAATTTGAACTCCACCAGCAACCTTGGGAAGTCACCGGTTTCTCCTCTAACCAGTCAATGCCCCCAGACAGATGGAGGGGTGTTGTCAGGGCCACCGCAAAGGGGACCATCCAGGAAGAGTGGGAGGGCACAGCTGCAGCCATGAGTGCCAGGAGACTCTGGAATAGAGGTCAAGGTGACTGTATTGAGGAGATTACCTCAGGCTCGGGCTTTCTGTCCACATGCCTGAGTAACTAGAGCTGGGCGCTGACCCTGTGAATTCACAGGAAGTGTAAATGTTTCTCTCTGGCTTACCCGGGCAAGCTGCTGCATATGATCACACAAGGGGAACCTCGCACTGGATTTTGGGAGAAGAGGCACAGAAGGTACACTTCCCAAGTCATGAGAGAAGTAATGGAAAAGACACAGCAAACCTAGGTCAAATGAAAGACACAAAAACAGAAAAGAGGAAGGAAGGGTATCAAGTCCTAAAACAGAATCCCGAAAGTGAGATCAAGCATCTTATATATGACATTATATGTGAATAAATTATACTCCTCCCATCAAAGTCAGATTTGCTCAGATTTTGCTGAAAAGATAAACAATCAAAACCTCAAACACATGTTGTTTATAGGAGAACTATTAACACAAAGTGATCCGTTAAAGGCAAAACAAGAAACAAAGAACAAAGACCGGGAAAACACAAATACAAAAACAAATTTGATAGCTGAAACAGGGGACAAAGAATTAAAATTAAAAAGAACCAAGGAGAGGGATGCCCGGGTGGCTCAATTGGTGGAGTGCGTGACTCTTGATTTCTGGCTCAGCTCATGATCTCATGGTTCTTGGGATCAAGCCCCGTGCTGACCAACACGGAGGCTGCTTGGGATTCTCTCCCTCTCTCTCTCTGCCCCTTACCTGCTTACACTGTCTCTGTCTCTCTCAAAAATAAATAAATAATTTTAAAAATTTCAAGAAGAGCAAAAAGAGACATTCTATAATGTCGCAAGTTACCAGTGAAGCTCTTAACACTAGTGGCAGACTGAATAAAACAGTGCTAGAATGTTTATAAAAAAAATCGGTAGCAAAAAATGGCATTACAGTAGGAGAAAGGGTAATAGTAGACAACACTATAGCTTTTATGACATGTCAGGCACTGTCCTAAGGCATCTCACGCATATTAACTGATCTAATTCTCATAGCAATCCGGAAATCAGCACTATTCACATTATTCTACAGGTGAAGAAATTGAGCCACAGAGAGAAATGGCTAGGGAAAGCCATTACATAGGTTTCCCTAGATTTCAAAACCACTAACATGACCTGTCTCTGGGCACCAAGTGGCCTCAGGAAGAATAACTAATAGTCTCCACAAGGAATACGGGAGTATTTATTACCCTCTGTAGTTAAGCTAATCTCCCATTAACATCCCAAAGACAAAACAAAACAACCTGGATGATTTGCCAGCAAAAAGTTTAAATGACATCGATGACCCCTTCAGCTATATCAGTCTGTGATTGTGACACACACACACACACACACACACACACCCCTTCTGAAAGGTGTTCTCCTCTGATAAATTAAATTAAAATAAATTGCTCACATTAAATAAAGTAAAATAAATGCTTTGAGAACATGGGTCCTACCCAGTCCTCAGAATCTGCCTTCTGGTCATTGTTGTCAGTTTCCAAGTAGAGTTTCTGGCCTAGAAGTGGCCATTTAGTTAAGGGGGAAGGCTGAGGGATGGTCCCTTGACTTGAACAAATGTCGTATGGTAAATTGTAGCCCAGCAGACACCCTGAATCTGTTTACGTTTGCCACCCCTTCCTTGCATTTGCAACATTTTCTCAAAGGCCCTAAAAAACATTTTTTAAAGCAAATTCCGTCTGCGACGGTCCCAGGAAATCAGAAACATTTGATGGGGAAAAATATAGCACACATGGATGTACTTACCAAGGGATGAACAAAAGACTCTAAATTCAAGTTCGGTGTAGCTTGGGAAAAATAAATCACAATAATCATGCAGCACAGCGTGATTCTCCTTGGGGATTTCATTTCTTTACGTTTGAGTTGCTTTGCCTGAAATGTAAATATGACGGTTTAGAGATAGAAGAATTTGTTTATTAAACATAGAAAGGACTAGCAAACCCTGTTTCGAGCGTCACGCTACACAAGGATCTTTGCAAACAGAGAGGAGGATGGAAGGAGCATGAAAGTATCAACTACAGAGGACAGTCTATGCTCCAGACCTGGGGCTGAGGATATGATCATGTCCAGAAGGTTGAGGGTTGGGGAAGATTGCACACAGATATGTACACAGGACAAAGGTAGTAGATGATTGGGTACCTTTTCTATACAGAGAGAGAAAGAGAGAGAAGGAAGGAGAAAGGCGAAAGGGGGAAGAGAGGGACCAAAGCAAGAAAAAGGGAAAAACTACTCAGCAAGAAATTCTTTAAACATCGTGATCCAGTACCCAGAACATATGAACAAAAGGATTCAGAGAACACTACTTACCTTTGCTGCATACAACACACTCTGATATTTCCAATTCTATAGTATCTTATCTTACCCTATTTTTCCTTTTAATTCTGGTAGCAACCCATTAAATTGACCTCATGATGCATAATAGTAGGCGAGGACCGCTTAGTATGAAAAATCCTGGAGTTAGCCATAACAATATTATCTGTATTTGATAGTCTTTAATAGTATTATAGTGAATAGCACAGAATGTTAATATAATATGTCCCATCTTACGCATTGATTTTTGACAGCAACCTCTTTATAATGCTGGTGATTGAGATGAAGTTTTTGGTGGCCAGATCCATCATCTCTGCATTTAAAAGGTAGAATATCAGATTGCATAATCCCAACCCTCTCTGGTGTTGGGACCCAGACAGACTACTTTGTACAGATTCCTTTCCACACCGACTTTTTTTTACAGCCAAGTATTTTCATGAAAAGAGCACTAGACCAAGAGACAAAAGATATGTGTTAAGATCCAGGATTACCATAAACGGTATATCCTTGAGTAAAGTCGCTTACTTTCACTGAGCCCAATATTCCCCATCTATGAAATGGGGATAATTATACCTCCTCTAATTTTCTCACAGACTTTCATGAGCCTCAGATGATTAAAAGCCGTGGGGCACCTTGGTGGCTCAGTTAAGTGTCTGACTCTTGGTTTCAGGTCAGGTCATGAACTCACAGTTCATGGGATCAAGCCCAGTGCCAGGCTTGTATGATAACAGTGTCCAGCCTGCTTGGGATTCTCTCTCTCCCTCTTTCTGTCCCTCCTCTATTCCCTCTCTCTCTAAAAATAAATAAGATGAAAAAGGTTTTGTGGCACCTGGGTGGCTCAGTCAGTTAAGCATCTGACTTTGGCTCACGTCATGGTCTCATGGTTCATGAGTTTGAGACCCATGTCGGGCTCTCTGCTGACAGCACGGAGCCTGCCTGGAATTTTCTCCTTCCCTCTGTCTCTGCTTCTCCCCCACTTGCACTTTCTCTGTCTCTCAAAAATAAATAAACTTAAAAAAAATTTAATTTGTTAAAAGCCATGAAACGCTGCAGGGGTGCAGACTGCCATGGTTTCACCCTGATTGTTAGTGGAGCCCAGAGGGCAGCCATCAGGAAGGGCAGGCCTTGGCCCAGGCATTGTAGGGAGTGCCAGGGGATCGTGGCCAGGATAACACACAGATGGTGGCCAAGACTTACATGCCAGGGAGAATTGTGTTTCAATCACCAGCTGCCGGCTGCCTCCTTTTCCTTTTCCCCAGTGGAAAAGAGGGAAGCATAAGGCCCTGGAAAAGTGACCCAGTTTGCAGATCTGGCAATCAAATACATTTTTAAAATTCTGCAACTCAATGGCTTTTGGAAAGTGCTTCACAATTTAGGTTGCGAGAATAGATATCTAAACCAGATGCATCTGCTGTAGGGCAATTGTAGCAACGGATTCTTTGTTCAGAGGGAACAGGCTTTTGTGGGTATTGAGCGGACTGAGCCCGGTGATAACAGCTGCTCCTGGGATGAACTGGGTATTTAGGAGGCAAGGTAACCTTCTTGTGCCTCACCTTAGTGCACTCTGCACTAGATAGTTCTGGATTGAAGCAGTTAATCAAGGGGATGAGACTCAGTGACTGAATGGTTAATGAGCCTCCCTTGACTCGTGACAGCCAGGGAGGGACCCAGGTATTAGAGGGACGAAAGCTGACTCCATATTCTTTTTACCATCCCCCAGTGGTGGCTTTTCTGTCAGAATCAGCAAGAATTATAATGTCCTCAAGTGGTCATATCTGGTCCTTTTGTATAGGACACTGGCCAATACCGTCCACCGTCCCCATCTTCTCCCAGCCTCCCTAGAGACAGTTATTGATTAAATCAACACTCTGTTGACCTGTTTGGTGACAACAAAATCACAAGTCAATAGAGATGTAGAAAGGACCCCGCTGTGGGGAAGGGAATGTTCTCTGGGTGCAAGTGCAGGAGAACAGGTACATAGCCATTGCTTACACAGTAAGGGTGAGGGGTGGGTTCTCCACTTGAGAGAAGAATGCCACCATTTTGAGGGGAAGGTAATGTTAAAAATGTTTGACAGCCAGTATTGTATGGGGCTGGCCAATCAGAACCGTGATACCAGGTGAAGATCATTTCAGCTTTTGGGATTCCTACATTTTGGGAGATAACTGAAGACAAACTTCCCTTACCCATATCAATAATTTTTCAGTAACTCTCCAGCTCATAGCTGGTGTTCATCTGTGAGGAAGCCATTGGAGGCTATGGAGGCTGTTTAACCTGGCTAATGGGGGAAAAGTCCAAATTCACCCAATCAAAAACACGAAGTTGAACCCCACATTCAAGGCAATATATCTTCACTAGCATCCCTTTAATTGTAAATTTATGAGAGGTCCATATTCATTCTATATTCTTGGACCAAACGGCAGACAACCACCGAGAAACACAGAGACAAGCAGGGGCAGAGAAGAAAGAAAATTATCCAATGTTCTCAATTACTTTCTCTTTTTCAATTCTAAGTCTGGGATACTCCACTAAAACTCACCAACCTGAATGAGTTGGCTGTATCTCAGAACCAACTGGGAATTATGATCTCATACTCAGTACAAACCCTGGGGTGATGAGCAACTTCCAGACCTTCTCTGGCCCTATTTTCCTGTCTGTGGAGTTAAAGAACAGAGAGAGGGAAATCAAGCACCCTGACATCATATGCCAGGAATAAGCCCTCAGGATTCCCAGAAGCACTGCACTTGCAGGATGAGAGTCTGGCTTCCTTGAAACAGTCTATCATGACATTCTCTGGCAGAGTGATTATGCCTCAAGAACTGCTGCTGTGAAACTGGCCTGGAACACATTAGTGAATTATTCTCCCAAATCTTAGGAACCACCAGTGCTTAAAATCACCCACTTTCCTGGAAACACTTCATCAGCCCTGACTGGCCCATACTTTATTGGGGGAGGGGGAGGAGAAGTAAATGGCCTTGCACACCTTTGCAAGGTTAGAAGCATGTTCACGAAGTAGCCACATCTGTGAGGTCCTACCCCCCAAAGTCACCAAGTTGTGTGTCCACACTCCACCTAAATGGGGCAAGAGTGGGATTTGTTCTGGAAATGATTTATTTCCTAAGCTCTACACATCTCTGCCTTTTCATGCTCTCTGGTAGCCTCAGCCCTTGTCCTCTGGGGCCCTAGCCCACATACTCTCCTGGCTCCTCGTGGGGAGGAGGAAGGCGGGATGACAATCTGAGCCTATACTTGCTCAGCCTCTGTGACCAGGGCTCTGCTCCCCACTCTAGTCCAGCACACATGGCCTCCCTTAGCATTGCCTAGCGATGAAAGTTTCCTGGAGTATTTGTACATCATCTGCTTCAGTCATTCTTACCCCAGGCTGTGCATCAGAATCATCACCTGGGGAGTTTCTTAGGTTTTTTTTTCCATTTGTTGTTTTGTTGTTTTAAAATCACCCTAGACCACTTGAATTGGAATTTCTAGGGGGTGGAAGCTGAAATTCTGTATCTACCAGAGCTGTTTCTGATGCATAGGGAGGTTTGAGGTCTACAGATCCATATTTTCAGCCATCTATTGCTCTTTCTACATTTCCTTGCACGTTGGTACCTTCTATCACCAGCCTATAGCACTCTCTACTAAAAAACCTACATAGAAAGAGAATATTGAGGGGTTGCATTTAGGAAGGGGCCAGTGATGAGTGAATGAATGGATTAATGGAAGTGTGGGTTCCGAAGTGATCTACCCAACACTTTTTGATATAATCCAATAACTAAGGCTGTTACTTAAGATTGTGTTCAACATCTCATACAGTATCAAATATGTTGCACACTTATGCACTGGCAAATAGAGTGTTTTCTGCAGCCCCCAAATTGTGCTCTGCCTTCACAAATTGAAATGAGTCATGGTCCTTGCCCCCAGGAAACTCTCAGTCCCATTGGAAAGTCATGAAACATAGACTGAAAAAACATCAATGTAAAAACCATTATGTACTAAATATCTACAATGTACCAGGCACCATGCTAAGTGCAGTAAATATGTTAGCTCACTTAGTTTGCCTCTCACAATGACCCTGTGAGGTAGGTATTTTTATCCTAATTCACAGATGAGAAAATGAAGACCCAGGGAGGTTGCAGAATTCATCCAGGCCACCCACCTAGTAATGAACAGAGCCAGATCCACCCCCAAGTTGGTCTATCTCCCAAGTGAGCAGCACCGTGCAAGTGAGAAACATGCCTGGAGCTGAAGATGGCAGAAAGCTGGGCGAGTTTGGGAGTGATTAGGATCAGTAGCCAGACTTCGAAGGATGGGTGATGCTTTCATGTGCAGCAAGAAAAGAGCCTCAGACGAAGGAGAACAGCATAAGCCGAGGAAACAAGAGCCCAAGGCTAAGATTTAGTAGTCCCTTGAGCTCCTCCTAGAGCTTCCCTTGAGCAGCTTGCCACTGTGCAGTTGCTTGACCATGACCCTCAGAGGGCATTGTTCTCCTGAACAATTACTGGCACCAAAGATGGCAGATCTATTTTTGCTCTGACTTGGAAAGAGAATCTGGTGGCATTACG